TATTTAGATTATTTCAATCTTATTTGTTCATGACTCTAATTAACTAGACCATGAGCAATAAACAAATAAGAACGGGTATAAATAAGTTCCAAATAACTGTAAATAGATAACCAAAAGTTAGATAGCAATTTTAAAAAAAAATGGAATTAGTTCCATATTTTTCTTATTTAAAATAGATTAGTCATGAATCTTTAGAGGTTAAATTAGATTTTTATTATTTTATAAAATAGAAATTTCACCTTTGAAACCAGCTAAAAGACTAAATTTGTCTAGTTTCGACAGTTAGAGGGTGTCCGATACCCATTTACGTAGTTTAGGGTTGAAAATCTCACTCTCATGCAAGTTGAAGGTTGAAAATTGCAATTTACCATAAATCAACCCTGGGCATGACCGCTGTTGTTACTTCATGATTGCAAATCAGGTAGTTGCCTAGCACGATCATAAATAACAATTTGCTTGATATTGATACATCGGCACATCCGCTAATATGCTGAAGTACCTCTAAAAGCTAAAATCCCCCTTTTTTGCGTAATACAAGGGGTTGTCCTCACTAAAGATAACAAAAAGGGTGACAAGGGACTAGGGAGTAAGGAATGTTGTTTTTACAACAACTAGTAAATATACCCGTGAATTGTAACATGACACAATTTGTTTTACAGTGATCGTATACCAATGGTAATGTGCAAGCTATTTATTTAATTGGACTTGGCCCAACTTTAGATCAAATAATGATTCTTTTAGGAAGAACAGATGAACAAATTGGGGAGGTAACACGAATGGGTAATCATGGTTCAGACGTCCAGTTACTGGCAGCTAGCCCAACAACTGAAGTACCCAATGGGCTGTCCAGCTCGGCCTCTCGTGACTTGGGTTTTCATCATGGGCCTTACAAGCTGGTGAGCCCATCGACAATGCCCAAATTCCCTTCCTCTCTCTGCGCGCACTGTTCGTTGTTTTCTTATAACCGGCCTGCTCGATCTCACCTGTTCGTAGCTGCAGGTCGGTGGAATAAAATCTCGCTGATCGTGAAGCGACTCGCATAACATGGGCAGGGCGTCGACGGAGCCGTTTGTTTATCGTGGTCAAATGTAACTAAGATGTCCTTTGCAAAGAATCAAATCCAAAGAAAACCCCATTTTAACAGCCATGCACACCGCGCATGGGTGTGTGGTCTGTTCATGCGGTTCATGCCTGCTCTGCTTCAAATGGTTTAATCTCCAAAGAGTCAAAGGAGAATAAAATAGCCTTTTGCAAATATTGCGGTGCTTGGAATGAAATCTTGATGGTGTCCTTGTTTAGATGTTTCATGATTGTATGTACATAAGTTCTTCATCAGCCAGACAGACAGCAGCAATTAAAAGATCACCTAACTGTGCATAAAGAACTGCACAGTAGCGCCTAGTAGACAGATTCGTTGTTTGTTTCTGTCGTTTGCTAATTTGTTTGATGATTGTTAATATTGAAGGGGAGAAATAGTTTTGGTCATGTTGTTCAAGAAATGGCTCATCCTGATTTCCATTCCTCGGAATAATATAAATCAAAGCCATGCCATGACAGCATGGTTTCAAGTATCCATGGAATGATTTCTTGTCCCTAGGATGACTAGGATCCTTCTATACACATATCCTGTATGTATGTAGCCTCTCTAATCATATATTATGTGTTTTCAAAATGCTTGTGCGTCTTTGTATTAAGGTAGAGAAAAAGTTTAATACAACACGCCTTAGCGACGCCCCAAGGGGTCAGGAGAATTGTACATGGACGCTCAGACCCACCCTAGTGTACTGAAATCTATGGTGTTACATTGAGAATTGATCAACCCGAAAAGAGACACCTGCTAGGACACCTATGCCCGCGCAACCGAGCGGCGGCGGCGCCGCTTGCGCGCACCCACGTCGCCGTCAGCGCGGGAACAACTCACAAAGCGCCTCCATGTGACCGGGGTCGGGGCCACCTCCGTAGATTTCTTCGTACGCCTTCATCGTCGACGTGGACGGAGTCGACATCCCGCTGGTTAGTCCCAGTCCCTTCAAGACAAGATGCTCGCCTCGCTTGGACACCGGGATGTGGGACAGGCTCTACGCCGCTATCTGCCTGCTCCTCTTGGGGAGCGCAGGCGGTGGACGTCTGTCGAGGGTCGAATCATATCCGGGCAGCTCCAGGAGCGGCGGCTGCCTCGCCATCGTGACTCGGTTGATGAAGCTCTTGAGGCAACGGCTGGCGGAGTCCGTCTGAGGGGATGGAGTGCTGTTGACGACGTCTGTGGCAGCCACTACCGTCGCGCCTCCCGAAGTGGCAGCCACGACTAGCGTCGGGTAAAGGCACGTCACGGGATCCACGACTCCGGGTCCCCCCCCTAGGCGACAGCGTGACCTGTGGTGGCCCCTGCACATGCGACGACGGAGGCGAGTCTGTCATCCCTTGTGCAGTCTTCACCGGAGAGCGGGTGTCCACCAGTGATGTGTCCGCTTCCTGAGAGGCACCCTCTGGAGCAGATGAGCACGCTTCTATTGGGGGGCTCGCCACGTGCGAGGCGGCGAACTCCTCCAGCATCGGGTCGATCCACGCGGGAGGCCCCGAGCACGCCCGCAACACCAACGCCAGCGGATCTTGCTCGGAAGCGGTGAAGCAGTATGCAGCAGCGGCGTTGCCGTCATAGCTGGCTGGCGTGCCCAAGCTGACTTCCCTGGAATTATTCAAAGATATCATACAGTTTGTTAGGGCACTCACATTAGACAAAAATATACGCCGTGTTCGGCTGGGGCTGGCTGGGCTGGCCAGCCCCCTCACATAGACACTGTTCCAATGAACCAGCCAGCAGTACTTCTCGCTCACATAAACGAACCAGCAACGATACGAACCAGTCAACTGAACAGGCTGATACTCCCGGATCATATTTGGCTTCTCTCCAGACTCGAGGAGTCTGGTGCTGGCCCATGCCAAAATAATGCATGTCTCGGTTACCAATTACCACTAAAGATGGCAGCGGGCGTGATGCCCGCGGATACTATCTTCTTGTGCCCGTGCCCGCCAGCTAAATCTCTTGCTCGCGCCCGCGCCCGCGACCCGCCACGGGCAACAAACCACGCCCGCGCCCTCCATCCGCGGGCATGAAATGCCCGCGGGCATGCCCGTGTACCCACCAGGTTGAGCATATACATAAACCATAGTGCATTACAAAAGATATGAAAATACATATTCACAACAAATCGTGTATATATACATATATTTGCTTGTAGGTCTTACATGTTAGACCTGTGGAGCGGGTCTGGTGGATAAACGGGCGAGGATAGCAAATTTCTTTGTCCGCGAAGAACTATCCTCTGGATTCAGGATGGTGCCCGCGCCCGTGCCCGCGGGCAAGAAGTGGTGCCCGTATCCTTGCCCATCGGGATCCATGCCTGCGGGCATGTCCCGTTGCCATCTTTAATTACCACCGAGCAAAGGTTCTGAAAACACAGCTACCCGTTTATCAGCATTCTACGTTTCTCAGTTATCATGGCTAATTCAGTAACCCTTCTCTGAAGCAAACATGCATGACAGCATCCTTGCATACGAACGGATCGGGCCTGATCTATTACTCTCTCTAAAACAACCACGTTCCTGCCTGCTCGCATCCCATGTGTCACTCCGAGCAGCAGCACCCAGGCCACTTCGAGCAGCGAGCAGGAGCCTGCCTGTGACTGTGAGGTGGCGAAGGCTGGCCGTGCTCTGTTCAGACGCGGCTCCCCATCCCATGTGTCAGCTGTGGTTTTCGAAGATGGCCGTACGGCGACCCGCAAAAGAAACGGCAATAATACGCTTGCCTTGCTTGCTACAGTAGGGCCTAGTGGCCTTTCCATAGCCCGAAAACGCAGCTAGCCGAAGCATGGAATCCGCGCACGTGATCGCCACATGACCCGATCGAGCAGACGGACTTGACTCGGTTGCGTCAGCATGTATTCGGGAATGCGTGCAGTCCCACTCCCAAGGGCTCGTTCGTTCAGCTCCGGCCATGACCTGGCCGGGCTGGGCACCACTTCATCAGTTTCCTGCATGGTATTTATTGGTATGTAAACAAATTCCATGTTTCCAACAGCAGTTTATAGTGGGAACCGTGAGTCATTTAAGTTCAGTGTCTAGTTATATGATCGTCGGAGAGAGAGAGAGAGAGAGAGAGAGAGAGAGAGAGAGAGAGAGAGAAGGAAATTAAGCTGTTCTAATGCAACGACTTGAAGTTTAATTTGGTCTGCACCAGATGTTCTGCATATACTTTTTACTCCGAAGCAGAACCAGTATGGAGGTTTTCCTATGGACCTGTCTTTTGTTTTGTCAGCGCACTCCACAGTCCACACTTCATTTGCACACAGGCATCAGAGAGCAAAGGTGGTCAGCACGGGAGAGTTCAGGCTATAACAAATCTTCCCTTCAGATGCATGCCTGTACGGTTCCATACCTCTGATGGCTCAGCCAGATCATCACTTCATCAACACCTTTCTTTAATTAATAATACAAAGATACGCGAACCCTTTGCGCGTTCTCAGAAAAAATAAAAGAAACAAAATGTTCAATGAAATAGAAAACTTCTCATTCTAATTTCTGATGGAATAATAGTTACTAATGTGAGTATGTGACATTACATTACATGCCACTATATCTCCCTTTAGAATAGCATATCGTCTTGTCCAAGTTGAGGCCGAGTGCACCGTGTGCAGCCGACCAAGACAGTTCTGCAGACCAAGGCAGGCACCTACCTGCTAGGCATAGCCTAGTGATGATCCTGCTGCCATCTTCCTAGAATCAAATTCCATTTCATGTCGAAATGGCCACTAGCATACATTATCTGTCGGTTAGGAATATCTAGCACTAGCAGGACATGAATCCGAGAGAGGAGCTACTAGCTACTAACTACTACTAAGCATCTGCAAATCCAAATTCCTAATTGCGGCATCGATTCGGTGTCAAGAGGAGGCACTGTCCCTTGGAGCGTCATCAGAGTTCGCGCCACTTGACGGGGCGGGATGCCGCATCTGCTGGTGGAGTGGCAGCGGCAGCGGCAGCCTCCCGCTTCCAAGAAGGGGTATATGCCCCTTCCAAGGTGACGTTATGATATGCACAAGTAGGCACCAGGCCGGCGCTACTTGCAAGACGTGAGCCTTCGTCGCCCGTGGCCTCCTATATAACCCTACGGGATGCTCTCACTTGGCCACACGCCATTGCAGAAGCAGATCCAGCAGTAGTGGTGCTGCAGAGCCTTCACAGCTCCCACCTCCCAGTCCCAGCCTCGGCTCGTTCGGGCAGGATGAAGCCATGGAGAAGCCAGGGAAAGCGCAGGGGAGGAGGGCTCAGCAGGGTGCTGAGGGAGCAGAAATCTAGGCTCTACATCATCCGGCGATGTGTCGTCATGCTCCTCTGCTACCATGATTGATCTCCTGCTGCTCTGCTCCTCTTCTTGGCCATTGACTCAGTCTAGGTGCTCCTGCTGCTTCTGATCTTCGGTTTCTAGCTTGTAGGGTTGACGATTCTTTCATGTACATAGGTTAGTTCTCAGGTAGCTACTAACATCTGAGTGTTGTGCTGTGTTGCTGGTTTTTTTCTCCTAAGTCCTACAATGGCAAGGATGTATGTACTGTGCTAGTTGTTGTCTTGTGTGTTTGCTAGCTCTCTATAAGAATTGGAAGATCAGGAAAAAAAGACTTGTCTTTTGGTATCTAACCTTTTGTCTTACATTCAGATTCACTTTAGTACAGCTGTTTGACCAATCTTGTACAAAAGGTCTTCAAATCGAGTATAAATCTGAAGAGGAATCGTTCTGCGCTTAACACTTTATGTGCGTAACTAGAAAGTGAAAATATATGCTATTAATCCGAAGATATAATACCCAATGCAAGTTGCTGCTCTTTGCAAGGATGACATTATGCAGTATCGATTGGCGTTGGCACCAAGGAATGAGGATCAGCAATCACACTAGTAGAGTAGTTTTCCTCGGTGTCCTTTCACACTGGCATGTGTGGACAGGTCCAGGACCTCCACAGTGGGGGTGTTTAGAGTTTGTGTTTTTTCTTCAGGTTTCAGTAGTTCTCTCTTTATTTTTCAGTAGTCAATCGTTAGTTTCAGTTGTCAGTTGTGCGGTGTTAGGGAGGGAGGCTCACCGGTGGCTGAGCTTCTGCTGCCCTGTTTTGTAAATTTTGTACAACTCTTTTTTCTTTTCCTATGGTCTAATAAAACTTGCGGCAAAGCTTTTGCCGTCATTTTCAAAAAAAAAAAAAACCCTAAGGATATAATCGAACAGAACCAATGAGGTATTGTTCGTTTGTTCTCAAAATCAAATGGAATGAAGAGGATTGGAGGAGGTTGAGGGGGATTTTGACTTGCAGGGGATTTAATCCCCCTCAATCCCCTTGTTTTGGGATCAAAGGAACAGACCTGAAGGGGAGGGGAATATGCACTACTAACTGAAGAAAAATATAATCGGAATCATGACTGCAATGCTGCACACTATCATCTGAAAAAACACATCGTTACAGTTTGCAAAGTTTTTTTTTCCGTTCATTTGAATACTGTTTGGAAATGGCATGCCATACTTCACAGTTTTCAGGTGTGTTCTCTATCTTTCAACTAGCAAACCTCTTTTATTGAAAGAATAGGTTCCTTACAAATTAGTAAATAAGCCACCAAGTTGACAACTTGCGCGTGGTACTTTTAGTTTTCCAGCAGCAATAAAAAACTTTAGTCCAAAAAATATACATAGTTTCAGACTTAAAACTGCCAAAAGATGGACCATGAAAATATGTGCAACGATTAAGTAATGGCCTAATAGTACTACTGCGTACAGTGAGCAGCAAGCACTGGACCACGAAAATGAGAAGCTTCAAGGCACTTGCATTTACGTTAGGCAGGCCTTGTTCGGCTGGCCGTAAAAACGGCTGATGCTGATATTGATGTTGATACTGATCCTAATTTATTATAAGAGAAAAATACTATTATTTTGTTGGAACGGTACGGCTAATAAGTTCATGCGAACAGGGCCTTAGAATGACCTGTCTCGTTCTTGAACTCTGAATTTTGAGAGGCACAGCTCATTGTGAGCAGAAGCCTGGCAGATCTCGTCAGGTAAAAATGTACTGTAGTACATCCTTATTTTGAATAATGACAACTCACTGGTTGAATTGAAAGTCTTTCTAACGTGAATGACTAGGCACTAATTATATTATATATGTAAAAAAAAAGGCAAATTTTGTTGGAGGACACCGCAAAAACATATAATTAGTCGGCACACACCGTAAACGAGAATTTGTCCAGTACCATTATAAATTTATGGTTATTTGCCGTAATATATTGTGTTTATTATTTTATTTATTTCTCAGGTTTTAATAAAGAGAATGTGCGGGAAATGACTCCTTTGCCATCGTCTTCAACTTTTCGTAACACTGCCATCTTCGCGAGCTCCTGTGGCGAGCACCCCCTCCTCCGGCGAGCTCCTCTGGCCAGTCCCCCTCCTCCGGCGAGCTCCTCTGGCGAGCTCCCCTGGCCAGCGCGGCTAGGGGCACGGCCTCCCTGGGCGCCACCTAGGCCGGCGCGGCTGGGGGCGTCGCAGCCACCCACGCCGCGGGACGCCAGCAGCCGCTGCCGCGCGCCCTTCAGGGCCGGTCGTAGTAGGCGTTGAAGTTGTCGAGGCCGAGCACACTGTCGCCGCGCGCGCGGAGCGCCAGCGAGCAGTGCGCGCCCACGAAAATGACCCACCTGCCTCTCGTTCTTGAATTCTGAATTTTGAGAGGCACAGCTCATTGTGAACACAAGCCTGGCAGATCTCATTAGGTGCAAATGTATGTCCTTGTTTTCTATAATGACAACTGACTAGATGCTTGAATTGAAAGTGTTCTCTAACATGAATTTACTAGGCACAAATTATTTAGATAACAAAAAAAATCTATCAACTGAACATGCTGGTTTTGGTTTGTGCATGGCGACTAAGGGCGTTCAGGTGTCTCAGCAAATATCTTAGCGACAACTTTTGGTTAAAATACTGTTCTCTCCATTTGCAGCCAAGAGTCATAGCCAAGAGAAAAAGAAAATCTTGTTGCATTCAGACTTCAGTTAAGCATTTCTGCATTTGCAGCCACATTTGTATACCCTAATCCTGGCTCTGACGAGCGTAGTCCAATCTCCAATGCTGCTGTAGTGCTGTTGCATTGGATCGCTTAAACACTTCAACGTGAAGCCAGCGTGCAGGACGTTTTGCACAGAGATCAACTTAGGTTAGTGCAAATTGGGTTGGTTCCAATTCCAAACCGCTGCTCCTTTTACATAGGGTCGGCGAAACCAGCGGTTTAGCTGCCATGGGATGGGAGCTCGCGACAGACGCTCGTATCCTACAACCACTTGAATCAGAAACCATGTCCAAGTTCAGGCCACTGCTGTAAACAAGAGTTTGTAGCTAACAGCTCGCTTACTTGCTCTCCAGTGAAGCCGGGCCACAGGCCATTACTTGTAGCACTAGTTGCTGTACTTGATCAGGAGCTAGCTCTGAAGTTTTGGCCGCTTCTGCCTGCAAACCAAAGACCAGAATTCAGAAAGGGAGAAAAGCACCACTCACCAGCGTTAGATTCTCCCACAATTCGCTTGCCTAATGCAATAGTTCAACACAGGGGAGCCAATAATTGATACCCGTGAGCCATAAGCCACTGTTTCCTACAATGAACTACATGCTCATCTGCATTCAGGTGTTCCTAACCTTTTTCTGTTTGCATTTGCATGAAAACTCACTGACGATCTAGTGTGTTAGTCTTCAAACCGTAGCAACTAGCATAGCATGATGAATTGATGATTTAGCTGATGAGGCTCAGACTTCATGGGTGCTGTTGAAATGTGATGCGATGTGGCATATATAACGTCATGTGCGATGTTATGATATGCACAAGTAGGCGCTGGGAAGACGTGAGCCTTCATTCGTCGTCTCTCCTATATAACCCCTACGGGATGCTGTCACTTGGCCACGCGCCATTGCAGAAGCAGATCCAGAAGCAGCGGTGTGGTGCTGCAGAGCCAGCCGGCTTCTTTACAGCTCACACCCGCCTCTGTTCGTTCGTTCGGGCAGGATGAATAAGCCATGGAGCAGTAGCCAGGGGAAGCGCAGGGGAGGAGGGCTCAGCAGGGTGCTGAGGGAGCAGAAGGCCAGGCTCTACATCATCCGGCGATGCGTCGTCATGCTTCTCTGCTACCATGACTGATCTCATCTCACCTGCTGCTGCTCTGCTCTGCTCCTCTTCTTGGCCATTGACTCAGTCTAGGTGCTCTTCCTGCTGCTTTTGATCTTCAGTTTCTAGGTTGTAGCCTTGTAGGGTTGACGATCCTTTCATGTACATAGGCTAGTTCTCAGGTAGCTGCTAACATCTGAGTGTTGTGTTGCTGGTTTCTTCTCCTAAGTCCTACAATGGCAAGGATGTATGTGCTGCAAGTTGTTGTCTTGTGCATTTGCTCTCTAAAAGAATTAGAAGATCACACACACACAAAAGTGTCTTTTGGTATCTACCTTTTGTCTCACATTCAGATTCACTTTAATACAGCTGTTGGACCAATCTTGTACGAAAGGTCTTCGAATTTAATTCATGCTAAAATCAAGATAAATTTGAAGAGGAATCCTTCTGTGCTTAACATTTTAGAGCCTATTTGGAACACAAAAAGAATTATGTTCCTGCATTTTCCTACGAACTGATTCCGTGTTCCAAACATACCCTTATGCACGTAACAAAAAATGCAAATATATGCCCGTAATCTAAAGATATAATCAAACATAACCGGTGTGTGTTTGGGGTGTTGGGTGGGGGAGTGTTGGCGCAAATATACGCTACTACTATCTCCAACAACGGAATCCAAAATACAAGACTCATTTGATGTTTGGTTAGCGTTACAGGCAAATGGTCTAATACTCATTTTTTGTCTTCTCCAACAACAACAGGACCTAAAAAAGAGCCCTTTGTGCAAAATGAGTTTCTAGAAGAGATGAGGCTCATATTTGGGTCGTGCCTTTCTTGCCACCCAAAATAGGTCTCTCGTATAAGTACTGTTGGAGATAGTCTCAAGATATAATGCCAATCATGGACTGCAATGCCGCAATGTATCGTCTGAAAAAACACAGCATTACAGTTTGCAAATTTTCCAAGTCATTTGAATAACTTTTTTTGAAAGGATGGCAAAAGTGTTTGTGTAATTTTTATTAGAAATAGAAAATAAAACAAAGTGTTGGTCCAGTTTTTGAGTGAAAACCAATAAAAAAACCACACAAATTCCCCATACAATTCAACACAAAGACCAACCGAACCCTAAGCCAACTCAAACGAAGCCTCAACTAAAACTAACAACTCACACTGGTCATT